TGCACAGCCCCCTGTCCCGTGTGCCAGCAAGGCCTTTGGGCAGTGGGGAGCAGGGCTTGGCCTTCGCAGGAGGTTCGGTCAGCAGCTAGAACCTCGGCAGCCGCCGCAGACAAGCTATGGGAGGGTAAGGCAGAGCACGTGGGACCATATCACGGGGGTCTTGGACTTTGTGCTTCAGCACTGGGGAGCCTTTGGAGGGTTTTGAATAAGAGAGTGACTTTTTTTTTTTAAGATTTTATTTATTTATTTGACACACACATAGGGAGAAAGAGAGCACAAGCAGGGGGAGCGGGAGAGGGAGAAGCAGGCTTCCCGCAGAGCAGGGAGTCCGATGTGGGGCTCGATCCCAGGACCCTGGGATCATGACCTGAGCTGAAGGCAGATGATTAACGACTGAGCCACCCAAGCACCCCGGAGAGTGACTTTTTAGACATGTGCATTGGAAGTGTTCTATTTAGGGAAACCGAATGTTCCAGTGTGCCTGGCTCCGTCCTGATTTTCCGGGACAGTCCCAATTTATGCCTGTTATCCCCATTAACTCCCTGTTAAACTCTCAAAAGTACCCTGGTTTTGTTTACTGGATATTTTATGATATTATGGAATTATTTTTAATTTTTTAAGATAGGAGCTTTGCGGTTATGTTAAAAAAGAGATAGAGAGCTCTTATCTTTTAAAGATATGCACTTCAATATTTATAGATGATTGTCTGAGATTTGCTTCCACATAATCTGAGGGGTGGGATGGCAGCAGGGAGTAGGCAGGAGTAGAGATGACACGAGATTGGCTGAGTTAATAATTGTCCACATCAAAGGTCTGGTGTGGATACACGGGGGTTCATCAAGCCACTCTCTCTATTTCAGTATTTGTTTGAGATTGTCTGTTATAAAAAGTTTAAAAAGAGGGACGCCTGGGTGGCTCAGTCGGTTAAGCATCTGCCTTCAGCTCAGGTCCTGATCCCAGGGTCCTGGGTTTGAGCCCCAACTCAACTCCTTGAGTCTTTGGGCTTCCTGCTCAGCGGGGAGTCTGCTTCTCCCTCTCCCTCTGCCCCTACTCCCATACACCCCCCCATGCTCTTTCTCTCTCTATCTCTCTCTCAAACAAATAAAATTCTTAAAAAAAAAAAAAAAGTTTAAAAAGAAAGCATCCCACTGGACAATAAATACGGTCACTCTAGTTCAATTGCCAGGAGGGATTTTGCCCTCAAGGAACAGCTGGCAACATCTAGAGGCATCTTGAGTTGTCACGACGTGGGGTGGGGGTGCATGCTGCTGCATCTCGTGGGTACCAGCCAAGGAAGCTGCTGAGTGTTACCATGCACAGCACGGCCCCCACAACAAAGCATTATTCAGCCCGAAGTGTCAGTGGTTCTGAGGCTGGAGGACCTGGGCTAGTGCTGTCGTCTGTAATTTACTTTAAAGCACCAATCCATGAACAGGAGGGATGGTATGTTTGTGGAGGAGTTCACTGTAATTTACGCTCTAGGGATGATCAGTTAACACTTAAAGGAATTCATACTATGGGAGTGGCTAGCAAGAGCTTCAAACACAATTACCTAAATCCGCTCCCCAAAAGTCATTAGTTAGCATGAAAGGTATTCTAGATAATTTCTCATTGGTGAAGTAAGTGATATTCAAAAACTGTGTTTGGCTAGAAAATGGTACAGACACCCATGCCTTCATTGAGCAAGCCCCATGGACCAGTGCTCTGGGTCTGCTCCCGTTTGGTTCTGGGTCTCTCTCTGAGCCCCAACCGCCCCCCAACTCCAATAGAAGTTTCTGTCTCCTGATCCAACTGGAAGGTGGGCTGGTCCCGCTGCCAGCACATAGGCTTATCTTTGGGGCACTGAACTTTTCGTGCGCGTGCTTGCCGGCCTGCCTAAGGACAAAGAAGGGGGGAGGCCCCCAGGCTTAGTGGAGAGGGTCAATGATGGTTTTGTACCTCCTAGCTATTAAAAATAGGTCACTGTGGCAGAATCTGGTCTGAAATTTGCTTTCATTGTAACATCCCATCACCTGAAGACTCAGAACCCCCACCTAGTCCTCGGGGACACCAACGTTTACCTAAGAGCCTGAGAATCAGGGAATGGCCACGGTGACTGAGATCAGTAGGATAATGCTGGTGGTGTGTGAAGGGGTTAGATGGCAGAGGAGACTGGACCTTTTCCTTCCTTCTGCATCTTTCTAATAGCTTTCTAATATCCCTTACCTCCCTGGTGCTAGTACTATGTCTCACACTTCTTCCCGTCCACCGGGGTCTCACCCATGTCTCCCAACACCCACATCTGTGGCCTCAACCACGGCCAGGAATGGTCTTTTTGTGCCCAGGGCTTCCAAGGCAAGGCAGTAAACACCCAGGACCCCTCTGGGGCCTGAGTCTGGCCTCTGTGGCTAGAATTCGTCATGGTGGCCAAGATTGGCTTTCGGCTTCCTTTCATCAATTTCCAGTCCTTTCTTCTAGGACACGGAGGCACGAACAGGCTGCCTCCGTGTCCTAGAAAGCCAGGGGGCCTGGCTGCTCAGCACCACACTTTCTGCCCCCGGCTGAGCTGCCTGGTCGTAAGTGGTGGCCATGCATCTAGGGGGCAGGGGGACCATCAGTGAGAGCGGCTGGGAGGGCCACTCAGGAAACCTTTTTTTCAGCCCTCAACAGCTCAGGGAAAGTGCGCTTATCAGAGCATATTCTGAAAGCCTATTTGTCTGGAGAGAAGTGGAGAAGGCGCAGAGCACTGAGTGTTCGAGTGGGAAAAGGGGTGGGCACCGCAGGGGAAGAATGCCAGTGTTAAGGGAGGTGGGAGGATGTAGAGAGAACCTTCTAGAGCTGTCACGAGATGAACTCTGCTAACGTCACCATTCTGAGGAGAAGCACTGCTGCCCTAGCCAGCCCCCAACACACGTGTGCACACACACACACACACACACACGCACGCACACACACACGCACCCCAAGAGGTCCCCGAGCTGCATTAGTTGGCCTCATGGCCCTTTCTTCCCCAAGGTCTCAGATTACATGTCTGACACGGAGTTTTCCTAGCTGCTAATCCCACGGGTTGCCGGCTCCCACGGGGCCTCCCAAATGCTCCCACTGGCCCAAAGACAAGCTCCCTCGAGGGGCACCTCTGAAACAGACAGAAGAGTCTCTGCAGGAGGCCGAGACACCCCTGGAGGCGTGTGTTCTTCTATTTATCAGCGATCTCTGGCACAAGGCCATCATGGCCAAGAGTTGCGCCACGGGGAAGCTTCCGGTGGGAGGAGAAGGCGTTCTAGGCCTCCCATCATCCCCATAGTCCCCTTCCCCAAACCATGACAAATAAACATATACTGTAACAAAACAAAACAAAACAAACCCCAAACGAGCGTGCTGCTTCCGGCCCTTTTCCCACCAGCCGAGTGGAAAAGGTCCGAGTTCCGCCAGATCCCAGCCCACGGTAGCGCTGGGACTCTACAGGGCAGGTGCACTGGGACTCTACAGGGCAGGTGCATGGTGCTTGCTCTGGCCTCGTGCGTCTGGGGTTCTCTGAGCACGGGGACAGGGCCGGGGCTGGTTGTTGTTGACCTCTGTCTTTCCCACAGCAGAGCTCAGTCCCGAACCCCCTCGCCCCGTCCCCACCCCCGCCCCCACGCGCAGAGGACGTCAATGAGTGTGGGCAGAAGTTAATCGCCTGGCAAGTTTGGATTCGCATCTTTGATCTGCAAACCTGGCAGTGCGGGTAGAGGAGAGAACTCAGGATCTGGGGGCAGACAGACCGGGGCTTGCATCCCGGCTCTGTCACTTATACCGAGTGACCTTGGGCAGTCGCTTCACTCCCCTAAGCGTGGCTGTCCTCGTCTGGGAAGTGGGGACAGTTGTACGTAACTCACAAGGGCCCGCGTGAGGGGCGATTACACAACGTGCACAAATAGCCCAGCCCAGCGCCTGGTGGCCTCTTGGCCTCCTCTTGGGCATTAGCCGTGCCCAGTGATGAGTGTTTTAGTCTCGGTTTGGGCGCTGGGCTTTCTGCGTTACTGGCGTAGTAAGCGCTTTATGTAGATCCTAATCCTCACAACTGTCCTTTGAGGAAAGCATCATCATCAACAACAACACCATCTTTTCAGAGCCCAGGAAACAGGCCCAAAGACCTGATGATGCTTGGCCTAGTCACAGAGCTGGTAACTGGCATTGCTGTGGTTCGAACCAAGGCATTCGGTGTTGGCACCTGCCCTCCTAGCTCAGCGACCAAACTGCTCCAAGGCCACTCGGACTCAAAAAGGAGATCGACAAAGGGACGTCCTTTGCTGCGATCAGACATGATTGCTGAGTTCCTACTGGAGAACTAGGGGAGGTGGTCTCAGGCCCACCTTTGGATGCTCACTGTGGGGTCCTGGGGAACGGCTCCAGCCCAGGCCTGCGGGAGGAGCTTTGCTGAGACCTGGCGGGGGTGGCCCTGCCCATCACGTCTTCCTCTGCAGCCTGTTTGCCTGCCAGGGCCTTTGAACAATGATTAACTGCAATGGGCAGGCCAGCGCAGGCCGGGACGGGCTCCGTGGGTGAGCTCACCCCTTGCACAACGGCCGCCGCACCCGCCTGCCGGGCTCAGGGGCGACCCAGGGGGCAGGGCCAGGCAGGATCCAAGAAGCTGGGGAGACGGCCCCAGGAAGGACAAGGGACAGCCTGGCTGCCGGTGATCACCACCATATTCTGCGCCCCTGGTCCCCAGCTTGTGGGGCCGCTTCTGGGGGCTCCCGTGTGTTCCAGGAGCAGACTCCGGCCCCAGGGCTTGGTGGGATCAGCCTTGCTGGAGATGTTTTTCAAACCCTATCACCTGAGCCTGTCCCCTGTCTTCCAGCCACAGATCAGCATACCCAGATGGGACTGGAGGAGGTAGGAGCTCACCCTGAGGGTCCCCCCACGCCCACTCAGAGCCTTTGGCTAATGGAGCCACACATAGCCCCTCAGCACCTCCTGCCCTGTCCTGGCTACACCAGGAAGCATAGGCACACGCAGGTTCCAGGTCTGGTGTACCCGCCCACGCGTCACCCCCAGGGCCCCTTCCCTAGGAGCACCCCGGTTCCTGGAGCGGTGGTGGTAGTGAAGTCCGTTTAGACTGGGCCAAAGCCATCTCCAGACGTGCTGCTGGGCCCACACCCCCGTGCCCAGCCTCACCGGAGGCTCTGCGCCGCTTCGTTAGCTGAATGGACTAGGCATGTCCTCGGTCCTGCATAAAGGCTGCGCCCATTTCAGGTCTGGCTCCACCGTTTCAGAAGTCCAGGGAGGGTTGAGCTGTGTGGGTGGGAGATGGGGTGAGGGAGGGAAAGATAATTTCTCTGAAGCTCAGAGGGGGTGCCACAGACAGGACTGATCCTCTCCCCTTCCTCAATATTCCAGGAAGGCCAGGTCTGCTGGGCCAATGAGGTGTCTTAGCTGACCTGTGGGTGCCCCCCACCTCCCTACAGTCCCCAGTGGTGGGGGCACTAAGGAAGGCTTGGGCCTGGCTGGGCTGCCTGGCCTCTCCTCACAATCTGGGGACACCGTGACCTGAGGCTTTCCAAAAACTTTTCAGCAATAAACAAAGGGTGGGCTCCTCCTGAATACTTTTGTCCCAGAGTCACCTGCCCAGCCTCAGGGAGCTCAAGTTTTGAGCCATCCTGTTTATTCTCTCATAATGCCATCCCACACCCGAACCTGGATCTCATCCTCTCAGGGCCACGTGAGACCCCTGCCTGCACCCCTCCCGTCGACCTTCTTACAGTAAATCCTTTCCTTTACTCGACACCCACTCCTGACGTGAAGAGAACAGAATGTGCTCACTGCGCCTCAGGAGCACGTGACCTTGTGGGGGAGACAGGTCAGAATTTCCATGAAGGAGGCCTGTCCCAGCTGCTCTGCCTTCTACACAGCACCTTCTGGATACCGGGCCCTGTTCTAGGCGGGTCCCCTGTAGTTCCTGGTTTTTATCCCACGAGCTTCACAGCAGGGTATGCCCCCCACTGTAGCTCATGAGGGAAAAGCAAAGAAATTGAGCAACTTGCCCAAGCAGGTAAGTCGCAGGGCCAGGATTCGAACCTGGGCAGCTGTGCTCTTAGCCGCCACGGTAGGCCGCCTCGGAAGCAGCAGAGGAGAGAAAGGGGTGGCCGGGTGGTGCCTGAACCGGACGGCGGCAGAGCTGGGCCTGAGGTGTGAATGGGAGTCTGTCAGAGAAGCGGCATGGGGCGATCGGGATGGAAGAAATAGTACCAGCAACCCCAGGGAGGAGACGGGGACAGGGGCCCATGGACCCCCATCCCCCTGTCTGCTCGGGGTCTCCCAGAATGAGCACATATTTTCGTGTTACAGGTAAAACCGAAACACACACAGACACGATAAAGACTGAGTAGCATGTCAAAAAGCAACACCCCAGAGCAAGAGTTGGCAACCGTCTCTTGTAAAGGCCAGATGGTAAATATTTGAGGCTTTGTAGGCCATACTTTTTCTGTCACAACGACTCCGTTCTGCCATGAGAGCTCCAAAGCAGCCACAGACGGGATGTGAACAAATGGGCATGGCTGTGTGCCAATAAAACTTTATTTATGGACATGGAAATGTCACACGGTTTTCACATGTCGCAAAATAGGATTCTTTTAAGTGTTTCGCTCCTTTAAAAGGTAAAAAGTGATTTTAGCTCACAGGCTGTACAAAAACAGGCAGGTGGGGAGCCATGGGCCACAGTTTGCCAACCTCTGCCCCAAAGGCTCACAGAGCTGAGAGCAAATGGAAGCTTCAGAGAACTAGTTACGCAGATTGGCTAGAGCCCTGGAGCCTCAGGAGTGAGGAATGGACCAAGACTGGGGGGATCCGGAACCACCCCTGGGGTGCCTTGAGCCCTGAGAGGAGGTGTTGTCACAGCAGGGTCAGCCCCAGGCTCCGGTTCCGATGTCACCAGGCCCTGACTGTGAGAACCCGGTGTTTGCTTCTCTGAGATTCAGTCGCTTCAGCTGTAAGATGGAACATGCCGTTGACCTTGAAAGTCCTATGAATGGGACCAGCTGGGGTGGGGTGTGGGTGAGTGGCCCTTATTAATTCATACCATTGTTTTGGTTATTCTCAAGATTTTAGGCGGGAACTTAATTCAGATACAGCTTTCGGAAACATCTCCCCGGTGGCCATGTGAAGAATGGGTCAGCCTAGGTGTGAATACCTTCCATTTCGCCCTCCAGATCCCCCCTCCACCTGCTGCCCTGGGCTGGGGAAGCCCAACCTTTGTGGACAGCGTCAGCTGACTCCTCCATCCCCCCTCACCCCCCACCAGACTCAGCCAACAGGGAGCCCCAGCAGGGAGTGGGGGGGTGAGAAAGAGACTAAGGTTCTCAGCATTAACTCCCTGCAAGGTGTCTGCAAGCTGGCTGAGCCCATGAGGGAAAGCCAAAGTACTAGGCCTGGCGGACCTCACTAGTTCTCAATGTTTTCCTACCCCTTGCTCACGTGTTCGCAAATTCTTCTGTTTATCTGAATGTGAGTGCAACCTGGTTGATTGACTCAAAGAGAGTGAGACAGGAGAGAGATAGCAGTTAGGAGACCATCGTCATTTTGATGAAGGAAGGTGAAGCAATGGGACTGTGAGGGCCAGGAAGAGCTGGAACTGGGAAGATGGAGATGCTCAGGACCCCCAGGAGGTACCCAGGGGCAGAGGCAGGCATTCGGAATGGAAACGATGAGTTTGCAGTAGTACCCACAGGACACCCAGGTGGCTGGATGCACAGGTGTACCCCAACCCTCCTGCAGTCCTGATTTTCTGCCCAACCGTTAACCACCACCCACTCCATTGTCCCAGGCAAGCCACCCTGTTGGGAAGAGCCTGGGAGCCTTGGAGAGGGGTCAATGCATAAATGGTTGCCGGCCCTTTAGATGCAGGGAGAAGGCTCTCAGATCCATGAACTTAGCAGGGAGGAGTGACAGGGCATGCTGGGGCCCTCAGGAGAGGCCCAGGGGGCCTGCATCCCCCAGGGGCCATGGGTGAATTAAAGCTGGAGCCACCAGCCAGTGATATTGACAGGGGATCCTTCTGCCCATCAGCCAAGGATGTTGAACACGATGAGGCACCTCAATTTGAGATATATTTGGTTTTAAATCTTCCTTTTAACCACCCATCCTTGTGGCTTGTAGGAGGCAGGAAGTTAGATCCAGGCTTCCCTCCAGAGGGGGTCCTGGTATTGGCACATGTGGGGGGCAAGGGGAGGGGTACCGCCTTCAGACCTCTCCAGGGCTCCATCTCCTTCGTAACTGCACTGCCTTCTGATTACATTGTCCTTCCCCAAACAAACACTTGATTGAATATTTTTCAGCTGAGTCACTGCTCAGTTTTCCTTCTCTCAGGAAATCAAACATACTCTGGCTTTGCCTCTTCATCATTCTGACCACAGTCATGCCTGACCTTCTGCTGGGATGGGCATTTAGGCTTCTCTGCTCTCTCTCACCCACAGAGCACTGGGCAGTTAAGAGTCTTACCTCAGATTCACTGCCTTTGAGAGCTCAGCAGTTTGCCCAACACCTCTCTCCATGTGCCCACGACGAATTACCACATCTCCTTCTCCTGAGAGGCTGGCCTGCCTTCAAGCCCCCCACCCCCACCACCTAAGCCCCAGGTCTGGTATTCATTAGTGTCTAGTCGAGGCCTGATTCAGACACATTGCTCCACAGGCAGCCCAGCGGGCACACAGCTAATGCCTTAGGCAACCCAGGTCTGACCAACTGGTTGGTCAAGTCGGATGGTCATGGAGCTAACAGGAACAGCTATGTGGACCTCAGCCTTAGGAGGCTGAGACAGGACCCATGGAACAGCCCCTTGCTCTGACTCACCAGGTGATACTGAAACCTTGAAACATGCAGGAAGGCCTTTTTCCCAGAGAGCCTTCCTGGCTCTGCCATCAGGCCTGGGACCTCTCCTTAGGGCAGACACCCAGCAATCACTCCTGCCTGGTCCGTGCAGACCATAGGGTGTTCGTTGGCTGAGCACTGCTTTCTGGATCATTCTTCTGTGACATGCTAGAGACTGCGGAGGACTTGAGCTTTCCAGAAGATCCATTAGGTGCTCAGCTACCGAACCTACAACTTAGTGGGCATGAAGTAATTACCCTGCAGTTCAGTTGCGGGGGTCAGGGTGGAGGATGGAATGAAAAGACGTTATACAAGTTCGTTCATCTTTGTTTCGGCCAAAGCATTTTTGGCTCAGACTTCATGCAAGAAGCAGGTTTCCCACCACAAAATTCCCCAGGAACACCGAGGTGTGCCCCACAGACTGCAGCCCCTGGGCTCAGATTACAACTAGGGGCTCCACATCCCATCGCAGAATAGGCCGACTATCGCAGAGTTGGCGGGATGCAAGTCTCCATAGAAATCAGTTGCTAGAGACTTTTTCTTAACAAAAGCATGGACATCCCAGCTCACACAAGATGGTGTTGAACAAGGACGTTTCTGATGAGAATCAGCCACCCTGATTAAGGCTTCTCAAAGACTCCTTGGTGTGAAGAGGGTAAACATCCCTCATGGTCCAGTTCACGTAAGGAAGGGTGACATAGGGGTCCCTACAGAGTGTGGGCTTGATCAGGCATTCTCGGGAAACCCACTGGAAATCAGGAAATCTGACGAGCCCTGTGGAGCAGCCCAGGGCATCTTCACACTTGGGAGCCTTGAGGGCCTGGGGGTTTGGTACCGGCTCCCAAGGCTCTGTTTGGGATCCATTTTCCTAAGTGCCCCGAGGAAGGGGGGAGGGGTGTGGGAAACACCTTCCTGATGGGAAGATCTGCTTCCTGTTGAGATTCCCCTGTTGATCTCCTGAGCCTCAAGGTCACCAAGCAGCCTCTGTGGCAAAAAGTCAGATGAGCCTGGATTCTGGTGCCCAGGGTCCGCGCGGCCTGCAGACAGCTCTTAGGAAACTGTGACCCCCGGGGGCTCATTCCAACTGCACGCACGGGACACTTCCAGAGGTCAGGAGCCCCGGGGGTCATTTGAACAGGAAGTTCTCAGGTTACATCAAATGTTCCATGTCACAAATCCCCCACTGAACCCCTTTTCAGGAAGTCATCAGTCTCGGTGGCCTGGTGGGGGAGGGGCAGGGTATCGTAACGGTCACGAGTAGGTAGCGTCTAGCTGTCCCCCCGGTCTGCCCTGGCTACCTGGCTACAGCACCAGCTCTCCGCACACCGCCCACGACAGCACAGCGCAGGGACACGGCCCGAACTGACATCACCAGGAGCTCCAGCAAGAAGCTGAAAAGAGGGCATCTGGCAAAGGCACCCCGAGACACTGGTGTGAGCGCCAGGGATGCTCCTGCGTTCGGGATGGTGGAGGCGGCGAGGAGAGATGGCCTCACCCTCTTCTCTCTCTGTGCCCATTCCTGTCTCTCCCTCCCTCTGGCTTCTAAGTCCTCCTGCTGTGTCCCCAGGCAGCTGCCCCGGACCTGCAGATCCCACGAGGCAGACACAATTCTTTGTCCCACAGACTGCGAACTCCTCAAACCCGCACCCCGTTCCCACTGTGCTTGAGGAGAATCTGTGGGTCAGTGTAAGGGTGGGTGATGAAGAGCAGAGCTGCTTCCACTCCGCCTCAGCCCTGCCCTGGAAGGCTCCCAGAAACTGCTGGAAGTTTCTAGCGTTACACAAGGGTCCTCCTAGCACTCCAGGATCCGGCCGAGTGACACCTCCTCCTGGAAGCCCGCCCGTGAGTGCGGGCAGTTTTAGAATCAGTGAGCAGCTGCTGAGAAAGTAATGAGGGGAAGCAGAGGACAGGAGAGTATGTGGGATGAGGAGAAGCCACAGGGTCCATCGTGGGCTCTTGTTCCCTAGGAGGCTGGCTCCACTGGTGTGTGGCCCCAGCTCCCACGGGTCCTTCTTCCAGGTGGCCGCCCATGGTACAGGTGGCACTGTGGGGACAGGCAGCAGGTAAGAGGGACGGCTTTCCTGGACAGGACAAAGGGAGCATCCAGAAGGCCACAGGGAAGCTGCCCCCGCACAGGAGGTGGTGCTGGGGGGGGGGGCGGGGAGGACACCCTCACTAACTGTGGAGTCTGAGCTCCCCGCCTGGGGGCACCCACAGAGCTGACCACTTCTTCCTGAACCTTCTTCCTGAACCCTCACAGGACGTCTTCCCCGAACAAGGAGGGAGTGCTGGGAATCAGGGGCCACTCCTGGCCCCTGACGCACTAGAGCTCATGACATCACAGTCCCCTGCACCAGCATGCCCATGGGATGGCCTGCTTTGGTCACTGCGGCACCTGCTACAGGGAAACTGCTCTTGGGGAACCAGCACCCACTTCGGCGATGCCCAGAAAGCCTGGAGCCCCCCACCAACTCACTTCCCCTGCCAGACTAGGTTTCTTAGTTCCTTGTCTTTTCTTATCTCTAGACCTCTCCCAATCAGAAATCCTACCCATCCTTCTAGACCAGCCTTGAGAGCCTCCCCTGCCCCCTACCCCCCGACACCCACAGCCCTCAGCAGGCGTCTCCCTCCTTCCCTTGCTCCTACAGGGCCTGGAGTCAACTCATGGCGCCAAGTGCTTGAGTCTGATGGGTGTCTCCCCAGCAGGACCGTGGGGTCCCTAATGGTCTATTCCACTGGGGAGCCGAGGGCCGGGCATCCTGTAGGTGCTCAGGGGGAACTTGGTGATGGACCGAATCCTCAGCTGCAGCCCCTCTGCCCCCTCCCCCTCCGCAGTCCCCACGCCTGCTGGCCTCAGGAATTGCTGCCTGTGGGTGCAGCCCTGCCCCAGGCTTTGCAGGCTGGAGCCCAGCTGCACGAACTTGGGGCCTGGTCTTAGCAGATGATCTGCCCAGGGAACTCTCAACCACTTCCCACCGGTCCCTGGCCACGGCTCCTTTCTCTTCGAGGAACTAACTGCTATTCTGTGAGTCAGTAACTGGGGATGAAGGGAAAGGGTGGCCTCATGTGACAGCTACAGTCATGGGGGAAGGCGCATCTGCTTCCGCTTCTCCAGAGAGACCGTCCCCTCCGTCCCCTCCGGCGGGAAGGAGGCCCCAGTCACGACACAGGTGCCACGTGCATGCAGTCTAACCAGACGGGGTCCTAGACAACCACCCGAATAGTGGAAAGAAACTGTGCTGGGAGCAAGGGGACCCAGGAACTCTTGGTTCCCCCTCTGAGTAGTCAGTTCCCTTCTCTGAACCTCCGTTGCAAGGGTATGGCCTTGAGAGCCCTAAGAATCCTCCGTGTTGTGATTTCCAGAAATTCACATATGTGGAGAAGCGCTGAGGGGCAGCCACGTCCTAAAGGATCCACGAGGGCCGTGTCCCAGGTAGCACTGCCTGCCCCTCTGCCTTCAAGGAAGCCTGCAGCCGTGGCCGTGGGTTCCACCCTAGCGCCACCTGTCACTTGTCCACGACCCAGCTCTCTGAGCCTGTTTCACAGATGAGGAGACCTGAATCCCAGGAGGGCAGGAATGTCCCCAAGATCTAGAGCGTGTCCCTGAGCCTGCTGGTCTGCAGCTCTGGGCTCCTCGCCCCTCTTCCCCAGAGGATGCACCCTGAAGGGTCAGTGTCCTAAAGAGGGCCAGGATGTGGAGGGGCTTCTGGCTTTCAAGGGCTGGGATGAAGGCACCGCCTCTCACAGCCCAGCTGGTAAGGCCAGTTCCTCTGCCCAGGAGCGTTTATGGCTACGCTGGTGACTCCATGTGTCTGGGGTGGGGTGGGGGCTGGATGGGACCACATGGCACCAGAGGGAAACCCTGGAGGGGCGGCTGGGGCCGCAGCCGGCCCTATGCCTTTCATCTCCAGATGCCGGGGCCTCCCTCCCCACATGGTGCCCAGAAGGAGCGCAGGCCTTCCCTCCTGGAAGGCGGCCTGAGGCAGAACCGTCAGTGGGGGGTGGATGGTTAGAATGGGGTTTCCAGTGGGCTACACCTCCCACAGCCCTTGAAGTGTGTGAGGATTTCTGCATTCAAGGCCCTCCCCTCCGCCCTGCAGCCCCCTCCCAGCCTTTCCAGGGTCATTTCTTAGGGAGGCCGGGGGTGGCCGGAGGATGGCGGAAGGGCAGAGAGGGCGGAGTTGCGTGTGTGCAAGGGAAGCCCTCTCCTCTGGGTTGGAGGGTCGCCCCGAGGCTGACAGTGCATCTGTGCCCACTGGTCACACCTTGAAGGAAGTGTCTTCCTTTCTAACGACAAAACCAAGGCATGTCCCCTCACCACGCCCTCTGCCCGCAGAGCTGGATCTGTCCAGAGGGGGCGCTGTTTCTAATGCGTGTGGAGATGTTCTGTATGCCCCTGATGCCCTGAGGCTGGGCTGGGGCTCACCCATCCCTGGGTGGGAATTTGGGTAAGGAGGAAGGTTTGGAAGGCACACAACAGGTGGGAACTCAGTTCACAAAGTGGTATCCTCTCGGAGCCAGAACATCTTTTTCCCAATTTCTGACACACCTGGTTGTTGACCCCCAGCACTCCCAGCCAGGAGACCAAGGGTTCAGCCAGTCAGCACAGGGCCTGCGAGCCCCATGGCTGCCGCCCGGCCAGTGCTCACCTATCTTGGGAAGCCAAAGAGAAATGCATGGTTCGATGTGCCTTCCCACCCAAGGCAAGTCCTGCCCTGTGAGCACCTCCCTCAAGGGAAGGAGGGTGGACGGCCTGGAGCCCAGCCCCCTTCCCACAACCACATCTCCAGGCACTGAAGCCCTCGGGTCAGTTCTGATCTGAAGGCCAGGCCAGGCAAGACCAAGCCCCAGTGGTCTCTGGGATCAGCCAAGTCTCCCATTTTGGGTCTCAGGTATTCCCTCCCCCAGGCATCCCAGGGCTGGGGTTGGGGGGCACAGATAGGGAGGGCCTCAGCCTTCTCCTCCCTGCACTCTCTCCAGTCAAGTCCACCCCCACCCACCCCCAAGCCTCTGTGGGGAAGCCAGGGGAGAGCCAGGACCTAGGCTGCTTGTGACTCTGACACATGGGACCTTCCCTAGAAGCCTAGAATAAGCACCCACACAACAGCGCTTTGGCTCAGGTGATCCCTAGGGGCCCATGCCCCGTGACCCCTCCCACGCCTCCTTCCCCACCTCACTATGCTCACCAGCCCAGGCCCAGGGAGTCCAGCTGAACACTTGCAAGAGCTGGAGCACAAGCAAAAGAAGGGATGGGGAGCCAGGTCCTCCATGTTCACCCTCCATCCCTCACCCTCCCGTCCCCGGCTCTCAGCCCGCCAGCAGAGCCCAGGTGTTTCCCATTAAGGCTTTTATTGTGGAGTCTCGGGCTCTGGCTGAAGAAGGCCCAAGGAGCTACCCTATCCTCCACGCCCCCCACCCCAGGCTGCGCCGACACGGCGGGGCCTGTCCTCTCCCACCACCTAGCCCTTTGTGGGCAGCCTCTCGCCCTCGCTGGGAGGTCACCCAGGGCCTGGCTCCAGGCTCCAAGCCCATTCCTTCCACCCGTCCTTCACACTGCAATAGCCAGAGCATCCTTCTGTGGAACAAAGCTAATTATCCCATGCCCTTACGATTAAATCCACCAAAGGCTGCCCTTTGTGTTTGTGTGTGTTTGCGTGGGTGTTTTTGTTTTTTAACTGCTGGCTCTGTTTTGTAGCACTGACCAGGTGCCATGATGTAAATATTCCCACCCCAGCTGATTTCAGAGTAACAGCGTGAGGTCACTGAACTCGTGCCCCATCAGCACTCACAGGCCAGGAGTTGTTAACCTCAGCACACAGCCATCTCTACCCCTTTCCCCTTGACCTAGGATGCAAAGTCCTCCTCTACTGGCCCCCGTTGTCCCTCCAGCCCCATCTCTCACTGCCTTCCCACCCCCGACGCAGATACCGCACGCGGGGGGGCACCTGCAGGTCCCTGAGTGCACCCAGCACTTGCCAGAAACACCACCTCCTGTGTGGCCTGGCCAGCTCCTTTGGTAATACCCAATTCACATGTTTCCTCCTCTAGGCTGTCTTCACTAACTCCTCAATCCCGATTAGTGCCCGTCCCCTGTGACCCTAGAACACTGCCCTTGGACATCTATATTATTTAGTAATGCATGTCTGTCCTTGCCGCAAAACTGACAGCTCTGCAGAGGCCAGTGCTATGTTCTGGGGTCTCTGGGTCTCAGCCCCTGATCCAGAAGAGGCCTCAAGATTGAGCTGAGGGAGTGAGATGCATGAAGTAGCAAGCTTGGGGCCCAGGGTTTCATGCGAGGAGCTACCTGGGGACTCAAGGCACTCCCTTGGATCTTTCCCAGCAGAGCCCAGTGCCACCTTCTTGGCCAGCTTTCTAGGAGAGCTGCAGGACAGGGACAGGGGACCTGGCCCATACTGCGGGAAGGGGCATCCTCCCCGCTCCTGGGTCTGAGATTCACCAGGTGCCAGCCCCAGCCTGCCCCCTGGCACAGAGGGGCACAGAGCTGGCGGGTGCTGGGGCCGAAGTGACCTGCCGCCCCTCCCAGTTGTTTGTATCCTGGTGACCATGGTTTCCTGTAGGGCGGGCTATCATTATTGACTTTGGCACCAGCACCCAGGCATTTTGGGGAGGCCACCCTTTCCCATGCCTGGGAAAAGCCTCAGGGGTGGCTGGGGCAGCCCCGGCCTAGAAGAGCCCCCCACCCCCAGGTCCTGCCCAGGTGGTCCTTCGTGACCAGAATGGGAGAGACAGGAAGCAGTGGTGGTACAGAGAGGGCCCTGGGCTTCCGAGGGAAAAAGACTGGGTTTGCACGTCAGCTTGGCCACTCAGCAGCTGTACAAAGTAACGGCGTGGGGCCTTGATTTCCTCATCTGTGAAATGGAGGTAGTTATGCCTGCCTTTCAGGGCTTTTGTGAATGTAAGAGTAACATCCACTGTTCATGGAGTGCTTTGTCCACAGCAAAACGTACTTTACTCACATTATCTATGTAATGCCCCCCGGAGCCCTATGAGATCAGACCTATTAGCCCCATTTCACAGATGAGAAAACAGCAAGTGAGGTATAACTCCAAAGCTCCTTCTCCTACCACTATGCTACCCAGTGTCCCTAAAATTAGAGGGCAGGTGTGTGGGGGGCCTGGCACATTCTAGGCACAGCATAGATGATAGCTCTTAATAACTATCCAAAATCCTGCTGTCCGGCATATATCAGGAGATGGAATTTTTTAAAAATCTCTTTCAAAGTTTTATCTGAACCAGAAGGTAGGCAGTTGTGCTCCTGATTCTCAGATGAGGAAAACGGAGGCCCGAGGTGGTGAGGGCTTCTCCACAGCCCCGCAGCTAGTTCCCACAGACCCTGGCTGAGCACCAGGCCCGGGCTCTGGGCCTGCCCTCTGCAGTGGGAGGGCCGGCGTCTGGCTCCTGGGAGAAACCTAGTGTGTCTGCGGGTGCAGGCCAGGAAGAAGGCTGGAAAGACAGGGCCGAGAAGGGCTGATCGTGGGGCCTGGACCGAGAGGGGGCAGAGAGGCCAGCTCCCCACGTCCTCCCCCACCACCCTCTCTTCTGCCCCTACCTTGGGCCACATAACTGAGTTGGGATGGGGGGCAGGGGAGCACGGGGCATGTGAAGTTCCAGCCCCGGGGCCTTGCGCATGTCTCTCTTCTCTCCAGACCTGCGTCCTCACCTGGAGAATGGGAATGCTAATAACACCAGCACCAGCCCCAGTCCCAGGACATCATGAGAATGTGAGGGGCTCGTGGCTGTGACTCCCCCAGCTCCGCAGGTGGGAGCGCAGCTGGGGAGGGCCCCGCCAGGCTGCACTGAGCCACAGCTGGAGGGCACATCTCGGGGACAGCCCGGCCCACCTTGCACACAGCGAAGCCCTGCTCTGCGTCTGCACTCCGAGGCCCGACAGCTTCTTGTCTGTCACACCAGGAGATGAGACTTCTCTCATAGGTTCCAGTGGTAGCACATCTCATACGCGTGGCAAAACATCCTAATTTAAAAAGAGAAAAATATATAAACATTTCATATAGCTTTGATAACCCGTCGTACAGGGAAAAGCGTTTGATAAAATTCTTCCTCCTTCTGTGGACTATGGACAGCCAGCCACTAGCGGATCTGGAACAAACCCACGTCCTCAGGTTCTGTTGTGGCTTAGGAGTAGCCAGGCTGGACCCACCCGGGAGGCTCAGCTACTTCTGCACTGGGGGCCCCTGGGGCCTGGTGTAGACCTTCTTCCCCTGACCCTCAGGCTGCAGGGACCCCGTCCCAGGAGGGTGAGCACCAGGGTCTGCATCATCAAAGCCCCTGGGCCTGGTTAGCAGCAGGTCTGGTCACCCTGCCCTGGCAGGATTCTGGAAGGTGTGAGGGGTGATCTCACCTCTGGCTACATCCTAGGAGATGGGGAGACTGGGTTTGGAGGGAGAGAACACTAGCTGGTGATGTGCACGCTGGGGTCCCCGACGCCTTGCTAGCCTGTGGTGCTGTCCCTGGTTTAACCACAGTGTCTGTTACCGCAAGGCAGCAACAGACCAAATGCTGTCCACCTAGTACCTTACTGAGTCCTCAGGACGCCCTGTGAGGGAGATCACACGACTGGTAGATGGAACCACCAGGATTCTGAGCCCAAGCATCTGGTTCCAGTCTTTGTCGCAACCACCATGCTATTCTGCCTTCTCCATGAGCTGTGAAGGGGTGACCACATCTGCTCCTCCCCACACCACCTTCACTTTGGGGGTTAACAGGAGCACTAACAGCTCCCATCCTGAGAAGCCCTTACACCTGGGGCTGCGGGGGCAGGTGTGCCAGCCAGTGTGGGTCCTGGCCGCTCAGGGCGTCTGGCCCAGGAAGGGCTCTATAGATCCAGGATTGAAGATGCTCCCCTGCCAAGGTCTCTGGGGTCCAGATCGCCCGGTGGACAGCAGGGCGGGGGGGCGGTTCTGAGGCAGCCCAGGGATGCCACGCAGGCTTCCTCTGAGGCTCACACAGGGCCTCATGCTTGCTTGCCTCCCAGGTCTGCAGAGTTAGCATTTTGCAGCTTGTGAGCGTGAGAGGCCCCAATCTGGCCTGCCCCTGTGGTTGCGCAAGCGTTGCCTGGGTCAAGGAGCCAGCAGGGGCCAATATCCTGTTTTCCAAGTTCGAGGTTCACGGCCTGGAGGAAAAGGTCCTTGTTCTTACTGGACAAAGGTATAATCCGCTAACTGAGCCAAATGGGGAGTCTTTTTTAATTCACCAGAGGTGTTGCATGGGCTGCCTCAAAGGAGGAGGGACAGTCAGCCCAAGAGCCCCTGGAGCAGGGGTCCCGTCCTAGCCTCTGGCCCGGGTCTCTCTCCTCCCTGGGGGCCTGCGAATCTCGGCAGGTTCTCACGGGTAACCTCTCCCTCAGGCTACAGGGATCATGCCTTCTGGATCTGAAATCAGGATCTGAAGTTGGACCAAGGCAGTATTGATGTGTGAATCTAGAAATAAGGAAATCCTCACAGCTGAAGAGCACTTGGGTTGTTCTAGTTTGGGGGATTATGAGTAAAGTCACCACATCGCTACCGTGGAATACGATTCAGCAATAAAAAGCAACAAAACTCCTGATACACCAACAGCTTGGACGGAGCTCAAAGGCAGTCTCCTCCTAAATGAAAGGAACCAGACTCAAAAGGCTTCATGCTATATGATTCCATTTATAGGACATCTGGAAAAGGCAAAATTCCCAGGACAGAAAACAGATCAGTGGTCGCTAGGGGGTTGGGCGGGGAGGGTCTTGACGACAGAGGGGCGCCGGGGAGTTTTCAGGGTGCTGAAACTGTTCTATGCTGTACTTGTGAGGGCAGTTACATGGCTGTTTGCATTTGCAGAAGAATTAATTGTAGGACAAGAAGATTGGGTTTTCCTGTATGTAAAACAGATCTCAATTTTTAAAAAAACAGAAAATTACATTTCCTTTTCTGTCCCTTTTTCCACTCATTTTGACCTCAACATAAACTTGAATATCAACAAATCTGACTTAATGGATATTTCCAGCATGTCTCCCATATGCCAGGCCCTCTGTTCTGCCCGGAGAGGGGAGTGGCACCCAGAGGCCTGCGCTCACTCGGGGACACCCCCCACCCCTGCCCCTCCTCAGCTTGTGTCATCAGCTCCTACCTCCTCCCACACCTCCCAACGTGCGTGCCGAGGCCCAGTGCACCCCTATTTCCCTCTTAGGGGCCTCTGGATTGCTTCGGCCTCATGCTGACTGATGAAGGTCAGTCGGTAACTCTGTGCTGAAATACTGGAATTTCTGAGACGTTTCCGTGGTTTATGGGACCATAATATTTGAAGTGGGAACCTGCGAACCATCTTTGACCCCTCCCTCCTCCTTGTCACCCCACCCCTCCCACGCCCCACACAGTCAGGGAAGGGGGGAGGCACAAACTAGCAGGCAGTTGTCCTGGGGGGGCTCAGGCCTACGTGGTGGTTTATCGATATGAATCCTATGTCACAACTTTTGAGGAAGGCAATTGGCAATGTTGTGTTGTTTGTTTGTTTGTTTGTTTTTCACTGACCCCAAAGTGCCCCGACTGTTGCGCAAAAAAAAAAAAAATCAATCCACTGGCGCGTCCTGTTGGTCTTCCTTTCTGAATGTCTTCACACCTTTTCCCAAGACCACCGCTCGTTCCAGGCCATGTACCTCTCACAGGGACCCCTGCACCGGCCTCCCAGCTGGCCAGCCCCCCATTCCCCTCACCCTGCAGCCAGAGGGATATTTTGTTCCTTCAAAATCACGGGCACACCAGGAGCCCGCGCCAATCCATTAGGAAAACGCAAAAGGCCCGTTCGACAAACAGACCAAAACATATGAAGAAGCAATTGCCCTATGAAAAAAGAAATACAAATAGCAAAAACCCATACAAAGATCCCTAAGTTCATTTACAGTTAAATAAATGAAAACCAAAACAACTGTGTGATACCGTCTGCATCCCCCACCCCCGTGGAAGAGGAAAATGGAACTCGCGGCCAGTATGCGTGGTGACCTGTGAGGGGGTGTCTGTGCGTCTGTCACACGCAGCCTGGACGGGCGACAGCTGTGGCAAAGTGGTGAAACCCTTGGAGGGTCATCGGGAGGGACACCCCCTTCCACCCAGAACCCAGTGCTAGGAAGGGGCCCGTGGTGCGTACTCGGAACAGCGCCCTACATCTGCATCCCGAGCTGCCTGCAGAGGCGGCTTCCAGCAGTGGATGCAAGAGCGAAAGCCTGCAGACAAGATGCCCCCCAGGAGGGGAGAGGCGAGCCAGTAATGCTCTGCCCGGACCAAATGCTCCGCAGACATTAAGAAGAACGGAGTAGGGCCGAGATGACCCGGCTCAGGGAAAGGAGCTGCAGATCTCCCCCCGTGAGAGCCATTCCCTCGCTTGCAACTCTTGAAAGCACAGGCTTATCCTCACAAGTGTATGCATGGAAACATTTCTGGAAGCACGCACCAAAAACCTGTTAAATGAAATCGCCTTTGGCGAGGGAGACGGGTGGGGAGGAGGCTTTCTCTTTTCATGGTGGACTTTGCTGTTCTGCTTGGATTTCTAATCACGGACACAGAGGATTTTAAGTTTTAAAATGTCATCGGGAAATATCTGGGTGGTGGGATGTGAGGCCAATTTGGTTTTCTTCTTTGTACTTTTCTGTATCAAAAAGAATCAAAATCAATGTGTTTAAATGTTGCAAAACAAACAAAAACTTTCGCTGCCCTGGGGATAAAGTCCACGCTCCTGAGCTCGCCCTGGGAGGTCCTTTGGCGCCGGCGGCAGCTTCCCCTCCAGTCTCCTGACTCCTGGGTCCCCGCCACAGCCAACCCCACCCGCCTTCCCCACGCCAGAGCCCCTTGCTCACTCTCTTACCTCCGGGCCTTTGGCAGTGCTGTTCCATCTACCTGGAATACTCGGCCCCTCCTCCGCCTGCCTCTTCCTTCCGCCTTCCTGCTCCTCCAGCCTGGCGCCAGGAGCCTGCCCACCCTCCCCCCCGCCGGCAGTCCCGCCCCGCCTGGCTGGCTCCCCAGCACCCCGGCCTCACCTCGGCCCAGCCGGTGCTCCTGTTATGCGCGGAGGGCCTCTCTGCCGGCCAGCATCCCCCCCCCACCCCCGCACTACCTCACAAGGGCCTGGAAGGTAGGGCCAGGGCGCGCGTGCCCGGCATCCAGGGCCCAGCACTGTGCCTGGCACACAGGACGCTCCAGGAACGGCTGCCGGCCCAACTGGCGGATGAGCCCCCGAGGGGAACGAACACACAACACAGCTGGCGCGCGGGCGCATCCCCGCGGCGGGCCTGGTTGCGGGCTGGGGTCCCGGGGCCTCGGGCCGCTGCCGCAGGCGGGGGGGGGCGGTCGGAGCAACCCGCAGCCGCGCCGCCCGCTCGCTCCACGCTGGCTTCTATTTCCTCGGCGGCGGGCGCCAAGGCCCTGAGCAAATATTTTCCTGGAGTGGAGGAGCGGCTTAGCTCCCAGCCCTAAGTGCTGGAAACACCGCCGGGTCGGGCAGGTTCCAGGAACCAGAGGAGGAGCGGGGTCCGGCTGCAGCCAGGGGAGGGGGGCCCTCGGGGCGGCCCTCGGGGCACGGTGCCCACCCTCCGGGCCGCTGCGGTCCGGCCACCCCACCAGCCCGTCACCCTCCGCAGGAAGCAGCCCACTTGCTCTGTGCAGCTCACGGCTGGGAAAGGCTTTTGCCCTGGGCCTCTCTGCCCATAAATTAGAATCCTCTGGGATCCTGAAGAAAACGTAGGCCATGTGGGCCTCCCTCGTTTTTTGCTGAAAAAGCTACAGTGGGGTTTAAAGGAACTAATTAGAATCTCAGAAGCCCTTTTAAAAGCTCCCCCCCAACCCCCACCACCCGCTTTAACTTTCTTCTTGCAGAATAACATACACGGAGTACACTCATCTGAAGCGTATAGCTTGATGATTTCTTTACATACACAGACACCCTTGTAATCACCAGCTACATCAAGCCAGAGAAACTTCCAGAGAAGGTTCCTTTCATGTCCCTGCCTTGCAGACCCCACACCCCCAGCAGAGGCACCACTGGCTTCTATTAACATCGATTAGCTTTGCCTGTTCCGGAGCTTTGTGTAAGTGGAATCATGCAGTAGGGGCTCTTTGGCGTCTGGTTTCTTGAGCTTTATACGTTGCCTGTGATGTGTGTGAAGCCGGTTTGTCCTTTTTGACGGCTGAGTAGCATTCCACGGTATGAATGCTATCAGTTTATTCATCCGTTGTCCTGTTTGGGGGTTGTTTCCACGCTTGGGCTATGGTGAATGAAGCTTCCAGCACACACACACGTGCTGGATTATATGCAAGGCATATGTTTCTCTTCAATAGACCCTGCTCCAAAGGGCTCAGACCCATCGGCTCACTCTCCAACCACATGGCTCCCCATGCCCCCCCCCCCACTATCGTCCATCTCTAATGTCAGCCTTTGTGGTGGGTGTGGTGGTGTCTTGCACTGTGAATAAGCTCCTAAAGACGACTTGACTTTCAGAGCAAGACAGCAGCACCAGGTGGCTACAATGAGCGCCCCAAAGGCAAAGACTCCCTCTTTGCAGTGAGCGCATGCATCATGCTGGATCATAAGAAAGCGCCTGCCCTCAGGAGGCACCCAGGGGAGCGGGACGCCACGGGGGAACCAAATCCCTCGGTGACATGGTGAGCGGTGCCCGAAGCTAAGGGGCACGGAGGACACAGGACTCTCCCTAGAGCTGTAGCCCAGGCTGGACGTGAAGCACGGCCGAGGACCCACTTGGGGGTGCGTTTGCCCTCACACCCACATTCGGAGTGGGTGTAGAGCTGGCAAGGCTCAAGGATGGCCCTGGGTGACAGGGTGCAATGGTGTTGGGGAGTGGGAGGAGGCCAGGAGGCCAAGTAAGGGTGGTGCCCACGGCCAGGCAGGGCTGGCAGGATCCCAAGCCCCTCGAGGGTCCCTTGGCTCAGGACCCTCTCCTCCAGCTCCTGCCCCCGTAACTCCAGGAACCAGCGCCCCACTCTTCCAAGGCGGCCCGCCCTCCTTGCTCCTCTGCCTTGCTCTCCAGGCTGGAGAGGGGCAGGACGGGGTAGGGTTGATGGGGAGAGAGGAGGACACGGTGCCTTGGAGGTGGGAGCACGGCCCCGCACTCCTCTCTGCACGGGGGCCCCCTGCGGACCCATTTCCCCAGATGCTGCTTGGGGTCCACCTACCAACAATGCCTAGCCTGTCCCTTCTGCCGCCCGTTACCCTGCCCCCACCCTGTGACGGGCCGGCCCAGAGGACCACCTCAGACTCCACTGGAGAAGCACACCTGGGGGAGGGCAAGGTGACGCCCAGCGAAGTGGGGACAGGCCTCTACAGGTTCTGCCAGTTCTCCCTCCGAACCAGCTCTCAAAGCCAGCCCGTCCTCCCCATCTCTCTACTGTCCCCGGCCTTGGCCCCAAATCCCTCTGCAATTCCCAGAGCTGCTCCTCAGAGACCCTCAGAGAAGTTGCACGTGACTTTCACCACATCCCATCGTCACCTCTCCCCACACCTGATTTCATCCAACGGCAGCACCAAGTCTCCCGAGGTCTCCCGAGTCCCTACTTTTAGCCAAAGCCGTGCCTTCCACCTGGAATGCCTCCCCCTGACCCTCCCCGGCCCCGTTTGAGAGGCCTCTGTCCTTCAAGACCCAGTTCCAGTGCCACCTCCAGGCACCTCCCCTGACCCTGGCGCCACGCTGGGTTGGGTGCCCACCTCTCCCCAGCAGCCCACACCGAGCCCCTGGACCGCGACACCCCTGAGAGCAACACTGCGCATCTTTGTTCTGGAAGTGCAAGCACAGGGTGAGACTGTGAGCCGGAGAAAAACCTGAGACCAAACAAGGCAGAAAGTGCCATTTATCTTTTTTTTTTTAAGATTTTATTTATTTATTTGACAGAGAGAGACACAGCGAGAGAGGGAACACAAGGAGGGGGAGTGGGAGAGGGAGAAGCAGGCTTCCCACGGAACAGGGAGCCCGACGCGGGGCTCGATCCCAAGACCCTGGTATCATGACCTGAGCCAAAGGCAGACGCTTAACGACTGAGCCACCCAGACGCCCCTAGAAAGTGTCATTTAAAGCAGAAACCGGCTTAAAGGAAGAAGGCAACACCATCAATGTAAGAGAAGATGGCTCATTAGTTTAGAAAATAGCTCGAAAGCACTCTTGGTAGAAAATTCCCCGAGTGCCCCATCCCCACACAATGCAAGGACACATGGCCAAGCGACACATGGCCAGGCGCATAGGAGCGCGATGGGAAGGTGAGGAGAAAAGGAAATAGCGCTCAATTGCTCCATCCCCAGGAGTGGGGAGGGAGAGTCTTGGGAAAGCAGAAAAGAGGGGAGAAGCAGGTCAAGGTCATGGGGAGTAGGGCAGCAAGCTGAGGCCTGAGAAGGAAGAGGTAGAGAAATTCCTTGAGGCTGGGGTGCCCGAGGAACTTGGAGACGCTGTGTAACCCCTTCACATTGCAGCTTTCTCCCTCTTAGGCTCCCTGTAAAGCCGGCTTTATGGCACCACCCTGTACCATCCCGTACTGGTGGTGCCCTCAGGTCGGGGTGACCCCGGCAGGGGCTCAGAGCGGGGAGAGCAAGAGAAGCTCTGGGCAGTGGCACAGCTTTGCCCTTTGGAGAGGACAGGAGCGGGCGGCCCGGGACAGTGGGTCCTGGAACTTTGCAGGTCCACGTGGAAGGGCCATCAGCCCTCCTGGGTCCTAGTGTCACCTCAGTGGGTGCACAGCCGGCTGCGGGCTCAGGGGCCAGGCTGCCTGCTTCCGGAGCCCAGCTCCCCTGCTCACGGGCATGCAATTGTGAGAAGCTGCTTCCTTCCTGGGCCAGTTTTTGTCTGCGAAGTGGGCATGACAACAGTAGCGTGGTCTCAGAGACGGGTTAGGAGACGTGGGTAGCGGAGGAGATAATCCAGGGGTGGTGTCCAGCAGCATCTGGCCCATAGTGAGCTCAGTCAGAGTAGGAAGTTGCCTATTCTACAACCGAACCTTCACTGTCCAGACCAGGGCTGGCAGAAAACAGGCATTAGGGGTTTTTGATGTTGAACAAATGAGCAAGCTAAGGACTTTTGTCTCAGCCTCCAAACCCAGGGCCGGAGGGGCGGCTGCCAAGGGCCCCAGGCAGGGAGACCTGCCACGGAGGGGCGGCTGAGGGGCCGGGTGGGCGTCAGCAGCCTGGACGGGACTCTGAGTAAGGGGAGGGCAGCCAGACGCCCTTAGAACACTAGGCCTCCTACAGTGCATTACACGTTTTCAACCTCCAAAATTTTCAATGTCGTTTTTCCTTAATATGTAGACATTTTTAGGCTTTTAGCACTTGAGACCGGCTGCTGGTGGACTTTCAGGAGTTGCAGGATGATGAGCGCACAGAGTAGCTAGCAAACTTTGAGTTGGTAGGGAGCCCTCACACGGTAGGGAATGATCTAGAAGGAGAGCAAGAAGGATGGGCTGGGCAGGAGACAGACCGAGAGCCCTGGGAGGAGGTGAGATGACAAAGGCCAGACCCAGGGCAGAGGGGGACACAGCCCACCCTTACAGCACAGGGCCCAGCCCTAATCCTGCTGCTCTTCACCAACCAATAGCACAGCCCAGAGCCAGGCTCCCTCCAAGAAGAGGACAGGGGAGGGCACGGCCAGGCCAAGAAGAGACCCAAGCACCACCACAGCCCAAAATGACAAGTGCCGTTTATTACAATTACACAAATGGGCCCAGCCACAGGCTCGGCGCCATCCCAGGGATGAGCAGAGATGAGCAGTCACGGACCCCTTCCCCACCCTTCTCCCCACACCCTCCCCCCGCAGTCACATCCAGTCACACGCTCCGGGCAGAAAGTCCCAGTATGGAACACAGAGCACAGCTTCCCTTCGCTTGGCGGTGCATCGCTCTGCGTCACGACGGCCCCCCTCCTGGAACAGCCAACAGAGCGGCTGGAAAGGTCAAATTAAATAGGCAAGCACAGGGGCTCCCAGGAGGGCTGGGCTGGGGGCCTCGGGTCCTTGCAAAGGTGTGAGGGGAGGTCCGTCCAAGGTGTCTGAGAGGCAGGCCTTGGCTCTGGGCCGCTGGGGGGCCAGTGGGGTCCGCCGAGGCTGGGCTGCAGCCGCCACAGCCTCTCCAGCCAATGAGGAGACAGTGCTTCGAGCTTGGCAACACAGCAATTTCTATCAGGCCTTCTATAACCTTGGCTGAACCTGCTGACCTTCGGAAGAATTTTAGCAAAGACAAAAAAAAACGAAAAGCAAACCAACCAGAGGGACTCTGACCCCAGAATCCCTCCTCTTGGGAAAGATAAAGGCACAGAGTTTTTGGCCAAGTTTCCCAACTTCATCTG